GGAGCTTTGGAAAAGCAAAGTGCACTCACAGAGGGTGCAGAGTGAAGGCCCCAGCTCTGCTCTGCTGCCCCTTGCCACAGCACCCCCTGAAAGCCAAGCCCCCAAACGCTGAAGCAGTTTTGTGTCAGCCTTGCTGGGCTGAGGCTCTGGGAACAGCTCTGCAAATCTGCCAGAGCGTCTGTGAGGGCAGAGGAGCTGTCCCAGCTCTGAAGGGCTGGGGATGTTGAGGGAGAGGATGTTCAGAGGCAGGGTGTGCCCAGGGCACGGAGCCCAGAGCTGCTGTGGGGCACAGCTGCACATCCCAAGTGTGCAGGAGCAGCACCCACACCCACACCCACCCGAGCTGAGCCTCTCCCACGGGAGACATCACACACCAACCACTGCCACCCAGCTTCCCTGCCCCAGCCCAGGCAGCTCCTCCACCGTGTGTCCTGTTCCTCCAGCAGCCCCAGCTCTCCCAAGTTCAGGAGGCAGAAGCAGGATACACCACAGGGCAGCTTCAGGACACAGCACTTCATGGTCTGGTGCAATGAGTCAGCAGCAGGAATTAAAATGCCTTGTGGCAAGCCCATGGTTGTTTCCTGGAGAGCAAGGACATTTGAAACTGGAACGAACAATTCCAAGTGCAACAGGACCCTGCCCCTGCAGGATGCAGGCCCGCAGAGCCACAGCGTCAGGAGCTGCATCCTCCACCAGCAGTGCAGCACAGCACGGAGCCAGAGCCAGGGACCATCCCATCACCATCCACAGCCTTGCACAGGGCTGAGCTCCTCTGCTCTTCTGAGCAACCAAGGCAGGTGCAATCCAAAACAGCACCAGAGAGCTGCCCAGCCTCCCACAGACCACATCTGCCACATCTGTCCTTCTCAGCATTACTCCACCCTGCTGCAGCAGGAGGCAGGAGCCGGCCGAGGGATGCTGTTCCCAATCCAGGCTGGGCACACAGGGCAGGCACAGGAGGGGTCACCCAGCCTGGGGCTGGCACGCAGGGCTTGGCCACGAGGAGGGAGCAGCGCAGGGAGGCAGCACCTGCCCCATGCCCTCAGGAGCAGCGTGGGGTGCCCAAAACTCCATCCCTGGCAGCACACACAGCCTCAGGACATTGTGCCACCCCAGGACGACAAAGCAGGTGGGCGCCCATCTGCAGGGAGGGGACACGAGGATAACCCTGGTGGTGACGTGCAGCCCAGCACTGCCTTTGGTGCTGTCACCAGCAGGGCAGGGCAGGGCAGGGAGCTGTGGCTCTACACTGCTGCACACCCACAGCAAGAGTGGCCAGGCAGGGAGAGCTGTGGCCAGGACCTCCTTTGGCTGCTCCACAGTGGATCCCCAGAGCCATTTGGTGGCACTCAGCCCCGGCCTGCTCGTCCCAGCAGGAGCAGCAGGCAGGCACAGGGGAGGAGCTGCTCCCCTCTGACATGTGCTGCGTGTGGCTCCGCCAGACCGCAGGGTCTGGCTCGCTGAACGTGTGGAAGCAACACTTCTCCATGTCTCACTTTACAAAGCCCCAAACAATAACTGTCTGTCGCTGCACAGGAGCTTAGGAGAAACATCCGTTGCTATTGGCATGGTGCACGGCAGCCTTCCTCTTACACAACACCAGCAGATGTGAAAATAGCCCAGTGCTGCCTTGTGCGTTCCTCTGACCTCCTGTTTGCTTCTGGATCAGATTCCAAAGCTGGATCTTAACCTACAAGAGCCATAAAAGCAAAGGATTTGGCCCTATCAGGGACCTCTTCATAATGTAAGACAGATGCACTCGGTGCAGGAGAGCACAGCGAGGTTTATCAGCAGGGAGGGGGCTCAGGCAGGACCACCCCGAGCTCTGCAGCACAGCCAGGACACGGCCCCGTGCTCTGCCTGCCCCTGCACCCCGGGTGCTCGGGGACACAAGAGCTGGGAGCTCCTGACACACTCAGAACCCCAGACCCCACTGCTCAGGCACACTGAAGCTCCTCCAGCCCCCACCTGCCCCGGCCAAGGGGGCCCTCCGAGCTCCCGTGTCCCCACACTTGTTATCCCCAGGGTTACTGGTGCTGCCAGAGCCAGCACAGCACGGGGAACTCCCCTCCAACCCTGCAAGGGGTTTCTGGGGTTGCTGACCTGCTTGAAGACCAGAGATTGACTCCAAAGCCAAACCCAAAACCACTCCAGGACACTCAGAATGAAAAAGCACATGGAAGAGAAATTGCTTCTGGAAGAGTGAGAAGGCAGGACAATAAAGTGAAGAATGCCAAAGATAAGTGACAGAGGGAGAGTTCAGTAACCATCAGCAAAAGAGCATCCCTAAGAACAACCTGCATCAATAAATGAAGGTCTCCAGGGTCTGTGAGGGTATCCAGTGTCCCTGCTTGGGAACTGCAGCAACCCCAGGCATCAGAGTGACTTCCTGAGAGGCAGGAGAAGAAAACAAGGCAGGGGCATTGGAGAATTGGGACTGCTGAATGACCTGTGAGCTCCAGGGCTGCTCCCAGGGCTGTGCTGCACCCACACCCCAGCAGAGCTCCCCTCTGCCCCACCACGTGTTTGTCCCTGTGCTCCTGGGTGGAAAAGTCACCCCATGGCAAAGCCCTGGAGGAGCCTGACTCATCCAGGGCTCCAAATCCTGCTCCTGGAAACTCCTGACCCTCCAACGTCCCCCTGGCCAGGGCTGGGAACACCTCCCAGTGCTGCCAGGACCTGTCCCCAGGAGATGTCACACCTGCCCCATCACCCTCTGGTGCCTGCAGGGTGGCCTTGGGGCCTGTGAGCAGCTTCTGGCCAGAGCTGAGCCCCCAGCACAGACCTGCAGCAGCTCACACGTCCATGCACCCCTGCCCTCCTGCACGGGGAGCCACCAGAACACAAAAAACACCAGAGCACACCCAAACCGTGGGGTTTTATCCTAGAACCCTTCCAGCCCCACACACTCTGGAGGGATTTCTACCTCTGCACACCAGGCAGCAGCAGAGCAGAGCAATTCTAAGACCAGCACACGGGACAAGCTGCAGATCACGGCAGGGCAAAAGTCAGCCTTAGAATATAATCCACTTCTGGAGCTCTTAAATCTCCCCAATACAACACAGAGCCCTTTAAGCAAAACTAAACAACTTCCTTTAGACTAAATAAATATTAAACCTAAGTGATGCATTAATTTACTCCAGTTCACCAAAGGCTAACTCCTACCCAAACTGATCATTATTAAAGAAATCCTATAATCCCTCGCTCCCATTCAGGCTCAAAACATGTAATCCCGTGAATAAATCCAGAAAGAAAGTGTAACAAAACGGGCAATAAAAACTTACAGCATTCACATCTTTTCATCTACCATTAATACTGTAAACACTCACTGGAAGGCCCTCGAGTATGACTAATCTGATGTTTTGGCTCCGCAGCAATCGCCGGAGGAGCTTCGCTCTGCGAGTGACACCCAGCGAGCCCCGCCGCCCCTCGGGCCACCTGGGCCGGGCCAGGGCACCCCACAGCCCCCAGAACGCTGCATGGAGGGCAGCAAGTGTGGTTCTAATGGCACCAGAGCACTGAGCTTTCTTCTTTTTTTCCTTTTTTTTTTTTTATTTTTTTCTTTTTTATTATTTTATTGCTTTGGAAGCCTGCAAGCTCCAACTGTATAAATGCCAATAACTTTGTTTTAAGGCTGCTGAAGTAAGAGATCAGATTTTAGCAAGTGCTTTCCAGGCAGTCAGCCAAACTTTTTCTGATTCACTAAAAGCACCGAAGGGAGGGGGAGAGGAAGGGGGCTGGAGGGCTGATTAACTTCAGTTACCGCACAAGCGCAAAAAAAACCCCCCTCTCCCGCTGCAAAGGGTTCCGGCGCTGCGAGCCCTGCGCAGCCCGAGATTATCGGGCTGAAAAATCGCCGCAGCAGAGCAGCAGAGCAAAGCCCTTGCAGCAAACACCATTCCCAGCTGCGGCTCCGCTGCTCCAGCAGGGGAGGCTCCGCTCGTGTCGGGTTCGAGCTGCAGTTTTTGGACGGGACGAGGAAAAACAATGTGATGGGGGATGTTCTGGATGGGTGGGAGAGCAGGGGATGGGGCTGGTTCGGGTTTGAGCTTGGCCACAGGGATGGAGCCCCCTCCAAGAGGGGACCATCCAGGACCATCCCCGGCTGCCCCTGGGGATCTGCAGAGCGTGAGGAGCAGGTGCAGTCCCGGCCAAAGCTCAGCTCGGGGCCGAGGGTGGCACAAGTGTCCCCAGCCCGGCCGGAGCGTGGCTGCAGCCACCGGAGCAGTGGCACCTGCTCTGCAGGTGGGGCTGCTCCAGGATGCCCAGCGAAAATCCCCGTGGCAGGGGCAGCTGCCATCCCCATCCCATTCCATCCTCATCCCCATCCCCTTCCCATCCCATCCCCATCCCATCCCGCGGGCTCCGGGGCTGCAGAGCCTCGCTCAGGGTGTTCCTCATCCCTCATCCCGCGGCCTCATTCCTGCCGAGGCAGGATCAAAGGCTGGGGCTGGCTTGGACGCCGTTCTACTGAATAATGGGGAGGGAGCACGCAGCCTCCTTCTCTTGGCTAGCAAAACTTGTGTTTTTCAAAGCATCAGTTTTTGGGAGTGAGTTCCCGAAGAGGGAAGGGAAGGGAAAAAAAAAAAAAAAAAAGGAGGGGGGAGAAAGAAAGGGAAAAAAGGGCGAGCAGGAGAGCTCCTGCTCTTCCAAGGCAAGTGCATCAATCAACGCTGTGCAAGGAGAGTCCAGCACTCCCTCTCACATCATTAGCCAGGCTAATGCACTCCAGAGGATCCCGCTACCGGCACCGGCTGCACCCCTGCCCGCGCCGGGGCCGAGCACAGCCGGGCACGGAACGCGAGCCGAGCGCAGGGCAAGCCCCGCTCCGGGGCAAGTGACGCTCCAGCATCTGGTGCGGGCTCCGTGCAATACAGCCACAAAAACTAGAGAGAAACAAGTGAAAGCCCCAGCCAAACCTGCCTGGCACTCGAGGTCAGCACGCCGCCTTTGTTTCTATTTTACAACCAAAAGCGAGAGAGGATAGAAAGGACACGTACCTGTACCTGAAAGCACAGCAGCAGGAAATGTAAACATCTGGAGAGGAGAAAAAAAAAAAGCAACAAAAGATCAAATGATGCGGTAGAATGATTAAAGTTGATTTTTTTTCTTTGTTTTTGTTTGCAATTTTTTAAAGGGCTCAGAGCGATGCTCTGCTTATAAAAAAGGCTCAGGTCCCCATTACCACTTGGCTGCAAGGAAAATGCAACCGGAGCCTCCAGAATGAAAGTTTTTAAAAAAAAATTAAAATATTTTTTAAAATTAAAAAAAAAAAAAAATTAGAAATATGCCATAATCCTTACAGGCAAGTGCAGGCTGAGAGCAGTGAATACATCGCTGGGCGAGGAGGGGGTGGCCGGTGGCTGGTGGCTAGCGGAGCGCAGTCCCCCGCCGCCGCGCTGACATGGGAGCGATCCGGCCGGCGAGCTCCGCTTGCGATCCGCGCTGCTCCGCGATGTGATCCGCGCTGAGATCCGCGATCCGCGCTATTCCGCGCTGCGATCCACGCTGTTCCGCGCTGTGATGAGCGCTGAGCTGCGATCCGCGCTGCGATCCGCGCTGCGATCCGCGCTGCGCTGCCCCGAGCTGCGCTCCGCGCTATTCCGCACTGCTATCCGCTCTGCTCCGCGCTGCTCCGCGCCCCGCGCCGCCGGGAAGTTGTGGTACCGCCCGCTCTGCCTCCGCCGAGTGACTCGTCAGGCATCAGCTCTCCTCTCCCCCTGTCTCTCCTCCTCCTCCTCCTCTCCCTCTCTCCGCCTTTGGGGGGATGAAGGTGCTTATTGTCAGTAACTTCCGATCATCAGCAAGTGCCCCCCCGCGTCCCCCCGGGCCGGGCCAGCCCCGCCGGGCGCACGGAGCCTCCGGGCCCCGCTCCGGGCGGGCGGCATCGGGAACCGGGAACGGGGAACCGGGAACCGGGAACCGGGAGCGGGGCACGGAGCGGAGCGGGGCGGGACCGCCCGGGCGGACCCGGGGCTGGCACCGCCTGCGCGGAGCGGGCACCGCCCGGCCGGGAGAGCGATTTTACAGAATGAGGGAGGGGGGATCGGGCTGCCCCGAACCCCCCCGGTACCGCAGAGCGGGCACCGCCCGGCCGGGACAGAAGGGGCTCAGAACCGCAGGCACAGCGGCCGCGGGGAACCCCGGTACCACCGGTACCACCTCTGTCACACCGACACGTGGGGAACCCCNCCCGGTACCACCGGTACCACCTCTGTCACACCGACACGTGGGGAACCCCCGGTACCACCGGTACCACCTCTGTCACACCGACACGTGGGGAACCCACGGTACCACCTCTGTCACACTGACACCTGGGGAACCCCCGGTACCACCTCTGTCACACCAACACTTGGGGAACCCCGGTACCAGCTCTGTCACACCGACACGGGCGGAACCCCCGGTACCAGCTCTGTCACACTGACACGGGCGGAACCCCCGGTACCAGCTCTGTCACACCGACACGTGGGGAACCCCGGTACCCCCGGTACCAGCTCTGTCACACCGACACGGGCGGAACCCCCGGTACCAGCTCTGTCACACCGACACTTGGGGAACCCCGGTACCACCTCTGTCACACCGACACGTGGGGAACCCCGGTACCCCCGGTACCAGCTCTGTCACACAGACACGTGGGGAACCCCGGTACCAGCTCTGTCACACCGACACGGGCTCCGGTGCGCCCTTCCCTGCGGCGGGGCAGGAGCGAGTCCCGTGGCCGCCGAGTCCCGGGCGGGCGGCAGCGGGGCCCGGCAGCCCCAGAACGGTCCCGGAGCGCCTCTCCCGGGCCAGGACAGCCCCGGCCCCGCTCGCTCCGTGCCCGGCCCCGCTCCCGGCGGGTCCCGGCGCTGTCTCCGCTCCGCTCCGCACGGCTCGCCTGCCCTCCAGCGGCCGCCGCCCCGCACCGCCCGCAGCCCCGCCGAGAGCCCAGGGGCTTCCTCCGCCTCAGCTTTGGGGAGATTTTTGGTCTGTTTGGGGGTTTGCTTTAGGTTAAGAAGAAAAAAATTCTCGCGCTGATAGCGTGCGGTAACTCTTTCCTCTTGTCTGAAAGCTCCTTTATAGCAGACAAGATGCCAGGAACCATTAACCTCCACGCATAGTCCAACTCTCCAAAGAGCACCCAACGTCACTTAACACCTTATTAAGTGAGAACATAACCATAGCTCAGAACTCGGAGCTTTCCCAACTCTGCACTCCAATAACAGCATCGGTGCAGCAGGGCCCAGCTGCTCCCACCTCTGCAGGGACCCAGTCAGTGCTTGCTCCCCCAGCACTCTCAGCCACAAATCAAGCAGCATCTTTAATCCCTGGAGTTCACCACTGGGGAGCCTTCAGGTATCAAGTCACAGGGTTTTCAGCCCAAAGCTTCAGGCCCAAGAGGCACAGAAAACATTAAGTTTTAAAACAGTGATCAAAGCAAGTCCTTATAAAACCTCCAGCACTAACACATGTCTGTGATGTATCTAACAGACTTCACACTTCTGGTCTTATGGATCAGCAAGTTTTTAAAAAAAAACCCAAAAACCCAAACTGCTGTCACCAACATCAGAGGCCCCATGCATCCCTGTCCTGGCAGACCCACAGCACCCTGGCACAGCTGAAAGCTCCTGTCACACATGGCCAACAACATCAGAGCCACCACCCTGAGCCCTGCAAGCTGAGCCCACCGAGGTGCCTGCACTGGAACAGTACAGAACTTGGGGACTCACGAGATCACAGTGCTCAGCTTAGATGTGAAAATATCCCATATATCCCCAGTACCTCATTTCTTGGAAGCAGTTTGGGTGCTGTGCCATCTGAAGCCTGTGCCATCTTACACTGCTCAGTGCCACAGGAAAGGCACCCACATTTGCACAGGGTCATGCCCAGCATTTCCAGCACCCCTGACCTCACTGAGTGCAGTCCCTGCTGCCCAGTGCACACAGCAGCTCTGCAGAGCCAGGGGCACAAACTCCTCCAAAACCCTCTCAGTCACCCGGGGGCCTGAGCTTTGGCTGCTCCATCACCTCCCTGCAGAAAAGGCTCCTCAGACAGGCACTGATGGCTCTGCACAGCACCCAGGGCTGCTGCACAACTGCTAGAAAAGGAATTTGTGAGGCTGCTGCTAACACTGATCGTTTTAATTAGAGCAGGTAAAATTACAGCAGCTACAACAGAGCTGTGAACTACACATGGAAAAACTCATCCCGGGTGATGCTGGCCCAGAGCAGGCTGAGGAGCCACAGCTGCCATCACCCAAAGGACTTGGGGCCACACAGGCCAGAAGGACCTGGACACCTCAAACTGCAAGAACTGCCAGGGCAGCACCAGGGCTTGTTTTAAAGAGGGTGCATGAGGGGTTTCTTCTGTCAATTATTTAATTTGTAATCACACGAGTTCTGTATTTAAAATAGATCCATCCTTTGTGCCTCAGTAGTCTGGCAAAACCCCTTAATCCTTAATATCCAAATAGTTACCTGGAGAATAATAGCAATAATACCAATATTGGGTGAATCTCAAACTACCAGTCTTGAACAACACAGACGAGGAACAGAATAGAGAAGAGGCAGCCCCTATGAGTCTCTGAAAAAATAGAAATATCATTTAGCAGCTCTTAAATATAATTTATGAATATATGTGAGAGTGTGTGTATATATACATATATATATATCTAATATTAGAAGCTGCACACCCAGACCTGTTGCTCCACTGCCAAAGGCTCCTGGTGTGATCAGATTCCCTGCACAAATGCAGCCAGAGCAGCCAATGCCCACTGGAAACCCTTTCAGGCTGTTTGTTTTCCTTCCAGCACGCTCAGGGTGTGGGGCTGGCACAGCACATCCCTGAGCCTGGTGCTCCCAGCACTTTCCAAGGACAGGCCCAGGCAGGGCTGTGCAGTGCAGGGGGCCCTGGCAGCTCCTGGGCTTCCTCCTTCCCCTCTCCCCTGCAAGAGCCTGAATTAAAGCTGTGTCCTACAGTGCCTGCTGGCTTTTGGGATTAGGGACTGCCCTTCAGCAGCTCAAATCAAAAAGTCTGAGCAGCCTGACCTTTCCCTTGCAGGGCAGGGAAAGGAGTTTCCCTCGCCCTGCTCCACATCCCACACGAGCAGGCATTTCACAGAGCATGGAGCCATGCAATGGGGCAAGGGCTCAGAGCCTGAGGGGGGAGCCTTCCCACCCCAGACACCCCTCTGGAATGTGAAAGAGAAGCCAGAGGAACGGCCAGGATCTGGCCCTGCTGCATCTGGCACACCAAGATTTAAATTAAAATGAAAAGCCTGGGCTGATGTTTGACAAAGACCAAGTTCAGCTCCACATCCCAGCCCTGCTGCCCATGAGCAAATCCATGTGAGGTTTGCTCTGTCATCTGCATCTCCAGCCTTGGATTGCTGCTATCAGCAAACTCTACTTGCAGAAAATCCAGCTGAAGAGGTTTTCTGGATTTGAAAGCCTTGGTAAAAGGAAAGACAACTTTCAGACTGACTGGGGTGCATGTTGTGTCTTTATCCAGCTCACACACAAAACCACAACTTCATCCCAAGGTAAGGAACCCTTCTACCACATGGGAAGGAGGGGATGCTTTGCAGTTGCTCCCATTTGACACAAGAGCCTCCTGAAAAAAAAACCCTGAGCTGTCCAGGACAGGGCTTCAGCCTCAGCCCCAGCACATTCAGGCACAGTCCTGCAGAAGGGATGTGGTGAAGAACAGCCAGGACTTGGATTCTGCCATCACAGCCTGGGAACAGAGGCAGGCACAGAATCCCTTCCAGCTCTTGCCACAGGGATCCCTCATGGCAGAGGGAGAGCCCAGCACTCTGCAGCCCTTACTCTGATCTGCATCACTGCTTTACCAGAGCAGAGAAGAGAAACCCAAGAGAGGAGGGCATTATTCACAGGCAGGGTTTCACAGTTTACAAAGGTTTTACTCCACTGGAACACCCCTTGGATTTTCAATGGGATTTGGGGACTGAAACCTCAGATTCCTCTAAAAAGTTCCAGCACACTCATAAACAGATCCCAGTGCTCTAGCAGCAGAACAACGAGGCAAACAAAATCCCTGACAGTGATGGACATCTCAAGCTAAGGGCAGAGCAGTGGCTTGGCTCCATCCGCTGCTCTCCTGGGTATCCAGCCCCTCTCCAGTGCCCCGGGCCCCTCAGCCAGAGCCTGCCCCACCCAGTGTCCCCCAGCCCAGCCACAGGGTGGATACACACGGGCTTTCCTTGATCCCACTCTTCCTTGATTTTTCAGCTCCCCTCTGAAAGCATGTGGCAGCTGCTGGAATGCTCCTGAAGAGAGGTAAGAACAAGCCAACCTCTGCAGACAGCCCTACACAAACCAGTGGGAAATTCCACTTTTCAGCCTTTGCATTGCATTAAATCCTAGGGCTTGGCTCCTTGGATTTATATTCCTCTATGGTTTCACTTTTCCCTAAAAAAAATTTTAAAAAATCACAAGCTGTTAAGCTTCAAAACTTAATATTTCCTTAACTTGGAGCTTTTCAGCTCAACAGCTCTTAAACATAAAGCTCTTTGCCTGAAGTCTCCTGAATGAAGCTGTCCCCAGCAAGTCACCATTCCAGCCCTGCGGGTGGGGTGAGCCATCCCTCCCCACCCCACAGCACCACCCTGGGCTGGCAAGGGCAGCACCTCACACCATGTGCGTGGCCACCCCTGTCCCCACAGCTGGCACTGCCAGGGCCAGTTCAGGCACTGGCTGGTGACAGCACAGAGCTCTCAGTGCCCTCAGTGGTGACACAAGGGAAGAGTGACCCTGGAGGAGCTCAGGGCGGGCTGTGAGACAGGAGAGGTTCTGAAAACAACGCTGGAAAAATCGGTGTTTCTACTAATCCTTCTGAAGAGCAACTGTAGCCCTTCAGCACACCTGGGCACCCTTCAGCTGCACCTGGACATCCATCAGGCACACCTGGTCACCTCTCAGGCACACCTGCAGCCCAGCATCCTTTCTCCTGCACCCCTCACACACTCTCAGCTCTCCAGGCTCAGACACAGCAATCCCTAATAAACACCAGATCACAAAACCTCCAAACCTCCCTCAACACAACTGATTGCACTTGGTGCTGCTTGCCAGAACCTACTGCCCACTAGCCAAGGGCAGGAACAAAGGGGCTGAGCTCCATCCAACACCGAGCTCCAAACCACCCCATTCTTTTGCAGCTTTTTCTGACATCTCTAAGTAGGATCCAGTCCTTAACGCCCTTTTGGGAAAACAAAAGGACAACAAGGATCTGGGTGCTGGTTCCACAGAGAGGGAAGGAGAAGTTGGGAGTTTGGCTGCCAGTCAGTAATGGCACACACGAAGGAGACAGGACATGGCTTGGGGGATCTGGGTAGGAGCATGAACTGAGCCCCTGAGGGAGTGTCTGGGTGGCAGGGAGCCCAGAACCACCACCCATGCTGGCCCTGCTTTCCATTAGCTCAGCCCACACACACTCCCACCCTCCTGCCAGCCACGCTCCTCTTGCTTCTCTCCAAAGGCTGCAACAATTGCTGAGCACAGGCAAAGCAAGAGCCTGGCACTGATCACAGCCCCTGGACTCTGCAAAGCCACCCTGGAAGGTGCTGGATCAGGGGAGCAAACACAAGCCCAGGACAGCCCAGGGCAGCCACCAGCACTTCTGAGCCCCCCCAGGACGCAGGCACAGCTCCTGAGGACGGTGTCCTCCTGCCATCACCTCTCCTGCAGACACCTGGAGACCAAACACATGCACGTGGAGCCAGCCCAGCCCTGCAGGCTCACCCAGCCACTGGGGGGTCCCCCTGTCCCAGGCAGGGACACACCAGACACCTGGTCACTGCAAGCAGGGGGACACTCACAGAGGGAAATGCAACATGAAAAAAGCCAGGGCAGACAGTGCTGCTACAGCGAGGCAGCAGCAGGGGAAATTCCCAAGGGAAAGGGGAAGGCTGTTACCTGAGTGCTGCTTCACCTTCCTGTAAAGGAAGTCAGGTTGTTTTCCCATCACAGCCTGAGGAAATAGCAATTTCTCTATTCCCATGCATTTGGCTGTGCAGCTCCGTGTCCTCGAATGAGCCATCCTCGAGGACCAGGATCACACAGAGCCTTCGACCCCCCCAACACAGCCATCAAAACACCACAGCCCTGCTGCCATCACTGCCGTGATGAACATGTCTCAGATCTGCAGAAAGTCAAGAGCAGTACTTCAAAAACCCACATCTGGTATTTGTCTTCTCTCTTCAACAGGTATTTTCACATCTGAGCTTTTTTTTTAAATCAACTTTTGAGGCTCTGTTCAAAGTGGAAGAGCTGGCAGCTGCACGTGAATATCCAAGGATCCAACTGCAGGCAGAGTCATCAGAGGCCATTCCCAAAAGGAGCCAGGGTTTGGATGTGGCCACCACAACAGCAGAGGTGGGACAAGGGCCCAGGGCCAGGAGTGGGGCAGTGACCACCCCTCACCACTCCATGAAGCCCAGAAAACAGTGGGGGATCGAACAGGGCCAAGGGAAGTTATTTTTATGCCTCAAAGATGCCTCATGAGGTTCAGCAGCAGCCTGACAACAACGACCTGACCTAATTATTACAGCTCAGCACTGCAATGATTTCCTTCAGAGCTGCTCTGCTCAGTCACCCACAGACAGACAACACCCTAGCTCTCCTTAAAACTTTAATAATCAGAATATTTTACTGGCTAGAAAGCCTCTTGCTGAAATTACTGTACAATTTTCACTTCTTTCAGCCAAAATTGAGGGCAATTTTGCTTAAATAAGCCTGTCTGTGCCATTAGCTCTATTTCACCAGGGAAATCTGCTCTCACTTGTGCACATGACATCATCTATTGACATAACCCCACCAAAACAGGCATTTCAAACCCTTACACTCTGCCATTTCACATGCTGCTATTATACTCAAGCTTAAACAAATCTTTGACACGAGACTTGCACCGTTTTGCTTCTCTTCCATGCACTTCACTTGGCTTTGTTTTCCCAAAAAGAACTATTTGCTTCTGGAGACTTGCACTGCTTTCCATTGCACCTGAGGGTTTTCTAACATCAGATATAACAAAGTTCAGTGGCAATTTCACAAATCCAATTGTACAGAATGCTCAGAACAGACCCCGTGGCCGAGCAGCACAACCCAGGCTGTGCTGACATGTCCTGCAATCCCACCTGGCCTCTGCAGCACCCAGGTCCTTCAAGTGGGGCAAACCTCACCCTGCTTGACTCAGAGAGGGGCTCCCTCTGTGAGAACACAGGTCAGGTGTGGCAATTCTCAAACACAGCAAGGATTTCAGCACTTTGATAGTTACCATACAAGTGTCTGAATGTTTGCTGAGTGTTCTTGGTCTCCCTCTCATTACTGCAGCTCCTGGACACAAGATGGAACAGCCAAGCACTGAAGTGACACAACATCCATATTCCCTTCACCTGGATTTCCTTACAACCTTCCCTTACAGCCTCTGAAGTTTTTAACTCCTGTAACAATGGCCCAGAACTTGAACTCTGGCTCTTAGCATCATGTGTAGCCAGAGGACCTCAGAGGGCTCCCTGCTCATCTAAGCTGCTGGATTTGGTGGTGATTAGTCTCAGCATTCCCAGGAATTTACCCACAGGCTCTGAACTCACCAAGTGAGCTCTCTAGGCACACCCTACATCATTCAAGCTAATTCTTCTCTCCACAAAACCCTCCCAGGAGTCATTATGTGAGGCAACATCAAACTCTGCAGCTCCTCAGAGGAGCAGCACAGCCAGCAAATCCCAAATCAAAAGTATTGCATTTTACAAGTGGAGCTCCAGGCCCTATAAACCCAGCAGTTAGAGAGAAACCATAAACCAAAGAGCAGTGAAGCAGGTCAGGAACCGAGATGCAGGAAGGGCTGGTTTAGGCAATTATAGAATTAGTGGTCACTTCCAGACAAGAATAAAAAGCCCTGCTTGCCACTGCAGCCTTCTCACCAATCGTGTGCTCAGCAGCTCCAAAGCTCGAGGAACTGGAGTTGTTTTGGTTTTGAAGCAACACACGAGGATCGTTTGTGTGTACCTGGTAAAGAGCAGCAGCTGAAATACTCAAAGGTGGCTCCTCAGAGAACTCTAAAGCCCCATCATCCCAGGGCTCAGTATGCAGACTCCCCTCATTCATAAAAAAAGAAACAATAGTACTTTATTAAAATACTAAATTTTATTTTTTCCACATACATTTAGTCTCCCCACCGTTTCCATTTGTCTGACCACCACCATGCCTTATCAAAACATTCCATACATACTTAAAATGAAGCTGAGGGTGGAGTCCCATCTTTAAAAACTAAACAGGCATTTTGGACAACACATTCTTGGCAAGGTAATCTGGATGACATTTATCAGACACAGGAGGGAAAGCTCTTTCAGCATTTGTAAAAAGAACAGCCAAATAATGGTTACAGAAATAAGACTGCAGAATTTAACGAACTGTTAAAACTGTTTTCTTTTCTTACAGACTCTGTCTCCACTGCCAGAGAGCTTGAATGACCTGGAAGTGCACAGAAAAAGTTAGAAACTGAAATCCATTCTTAAAAATTATTTTTAGTTTACTATGCCCACTTATTTCATAAAACACTGACATTAAATTATAACTGAAGTACATTCCTTTCAGAGGAAATCAAGTTGAAAGCTTGACACTGGGTGCTTCTGCTAGAGACTGTTATTCACACTAGGTCACAAGAGTTAGAATTCAGGGAAGGTGAGGGAGAGGATGGGTGTGGACCAGAGAGGCAAACACTGGCTCAACTCTGGCTACCCTGGCCAGTGCCACAGCAGCTGAGGTTGCCTTTCAGCATTCCTTCAGGAACAGCCATTTGTCCATGAAAGTTTGCTCTGAAACACTGAGGGAAGCAGGCAAGCACAAGCAATTCTGGCACTGCAGAAAAATTAACCTGAAGGAATTCTGATAGGGAAACTTGAGAGACATTTTCAGCTTGGTCTGTGTTAAGTAATAACTAATTCAAATTTGCTTCCTGGTACCACCTTTTGGCTTGTGCTCTTTCAAGAGCTCAGTTGATTCTGGGAGAGAATGTAGCAAGAATTCCACAATCTCCATCAGAAAACAGCTCCCCCTCCCAGACACCCTCCCCAACAACACCAGACTGGCCTAGGTGGCCAAACCCAGCAGCAAGGGAAACCACAGCTCATTTCCTTAGCCAATATGGTGCCAAAAGGAAAATTCTGTGGGTTTAGTAAGCAAGAGATAATTTACCAACCATATAAAAGCTGGAAAAATGTAATAAAATATTAGCTTTCCTATCTTAGCCAACTAAACCCTTAAAACCATTCCCATATATTTAATCTGAAGTATTGTTTGTGGTTTGTAACTCCCTGAAACAGTCCAAAGCTTATAAAGATTAAGAAGTGGAAAAGAATCCCTAAGTCAGGTTATAAAAGTTTTTGGACTTTATCAAGCTCTGAGGAATTCTGTTACCTTCTGGTCCTCTGTCCTGAAGCAGTTCTTAACGTAGTTGGCAAATTTGGGCTCCAGCTTAGGAAGGGTAGTCCCCTATTTGGAAAAAAAGGCAAGATTTAGGGTCTCCAGGTCATTTAATAAATAAATAAATATTCCAAGAAATAACCTATGAAGCTGAAACCCTTTGCAACACATGTGGAATTTTGAACTCACCTTGCAACTTCCCACACTAATCTGTTTTAAAGCATTTTAGAAAGTTTGTTTTTCTACCATGCCCAGGTGTTTCTCCCAGAAGTGGCTACACACTGAATTGCTGTGCAGGACTCTGCTGATGCTGAAGAGCACAACAGCATTCACCACTTCAATCACCTTGTTTGTACTCCACAGCCCCGTGCTGCTCAGGTAAACTGGAACTAATCCCATATTTATGGACTCTTACTAGAGCACACAAGCACAGACCAGCCTTCACAGGAGGTTTTCAGCTTCAGCTCTCTAAAGAAAACATGAACTGACCCCCCACCTATCCTTTAAAACTAATTCACTACTCGTTAATATACGGCTTCTATTAATTTTAAGAACTGTTCTAGAAACATTTCCCTGTAATCCCTGGAATTGTCTTTGCACATGCCCAAATGTACAAGGCAGCTTCAGTCAATAATTCATAAATACAGGTTTTACCATCTTGTCTCCTTGTATCTCCAGGGAAAATAATACAGCATGCTCTTTTAGGAGACACTGATTTCCTTTCCTATGTCCCAAGGGAAATAGTGTCCAGTTTCTCAGGTCAATCAGTTGAAATATCCCACGTCAATTAGGCCAGCACACTGAGCTGCTGCTTAACAGCACACGACAGCCAATTTCTGCTCAAAGGAAGCAGCAACACGAGCAATATTTCAAACTGCAATACTGCAACCAAAAAGCCTGGATTTGGCCACTGTTTTACCTCATGCTTCTCTCTTAGCTTCCTGACACCTACTTTAGAGTTCTGCTCTAAATCTAGTGAGGGATTTAGAAGCTGTCACTTGCTGGCTGGCAGCTGGAGTCGTGTGCACACTGAAGGCAGACACCCCTTCCCTTGCCGAGGGATGCTCCAGCTCCACCCTGATAAAACAGGACATTAAGCTCCCTGCCACGGTGCTTAGACAGCATTTCCCAGCAGAAACACTCTTCAGCATTAGGCAATGCATTTTAAAGCTTTTTGCCAGTGGTCTGCTCTGCAGGGACTGTGTGCTGTGAGCAGCTCAGGCACTTGTGCTCCCCCTGATCTCAGCTCCTGTGAGTGATTCCCAACACCAGAGCAGCACCCAGGGATCTGTGACCCCCAGGATGGGCCCATCCATCCTGCCAGGCTCACAGTCCAGGGCTGTGCATCTCCACCCTGCTCACAGCCTGCCACTGCTCACTCTGCATCCACCCTGGATTTAAACACTTCTGGTCTCCATCTGCATTCCTGGAGCAAAGCAGCCTCAAAACACCAATGATCTAAGCAGAAGATGGTCCTAATTCTTTAGGTCACCTTTGCTGTTTTTTGGGGTTTAAAAGTGTATTGTACTGAATTAAAAATCCCATCAGCAAACCAACAATGCTTCCCAGCACTCACATCAGCACCTCTGAACCAGCCCAGCCCAGCCCCTGCTGCCACATCACCTCAACCCTGGAGTTCTCAGGAGGAAAACAATCACCTGCTACACCCAACCAGCCTAGCACTGCATTTTCTATTTTAATTTAAATAGCAGCTAGGAATACTGACAGTGTGAGCACCAAGTGCTGGTCCAAACTGGAACAACCAGATCAAGTGACTGCCCTGAACCTTCCAAGGGTGAAGCACCCACTGAGGGGACACTCAGCCCCAGGTCCCTCCAGAAGGCAAATCCTTCCAGGTCTGGCTGTGCATGAACTCTATCCCCTATCTCCCTCTTCTGGAGGTTACTGAGCCTTACAAGACACAGGACACTGCTTCAAGGCCACGGCATTCCAAGCATGTCAGGAACTTCACTTTACTTTAGTAACATCAGGTGTAGATGCACTATTTAAGTCATCTTTACAGTAAATATCACTGAAGAGTTTCTGTGATTTTTGTTTGCTTCTTTTCCTCAAATTTCTCTGAGCTCCAACAGCAGCTCACACTGATAGTAAGGGCACAGCAATCAGCATCATAACCATTTCTTAAACCAATTCTTCTCACTGTGAAGTGTAAAAGTAAGGCTGAGAAACCTCATTTTCAAAAACTCACCTTATCCACAGATGCTTGCATTTTTGCTTTGATCTCATCTAACGACAGAGGGACTTTTGGTGTTTTTGGAGTTAGAGTTTTATCCTTCTTGGAATCTGGAGTCTGAAAAGGATTCATTTCATTAGTAACTTGCACACAAAGCTACAGAGAATACAAGATAAATTTTATAAAACTAGCTATCACACATAGTCCATATAGTTTTCAGAAAGCCACAAAACCTAAATTCATGCTTCCCACACAATTTTCAAGTCTGGAGTGATTATAGTTAGCATGGCTGGTATCTTATGCTTCTGGCCAGGTGCCTCCACAGCTCTTTGAATAGAAATGAAACCGAAATTAGCCAAAACATGTAGTGATTCAGAGTTCACATCTGGCACCTCTGCAGTGCTGCTCAGGTGTGTCCTGCCCTGCAGCCCATGCTCAGTTCTGTCTGCACCTTCCCGGCACCATGTCTGGGCAGGTGCAAGGGGAAGCTGCTCAAGCATCAGGACACAATTAACAGCACTGACAAGGGAAGTGCCAGTCCTGCACTGGGGCATTGCCACCAGAGCCCCCAGTGCAAGCACACCTGGCAGCCACCCTCCTGTACAAGGTGCTGCACAAAAACAACAGATTTAGTGCTTCAAAGCAAAGAATTGCCAATATTCCCGAGGGACAGTGTCTGACTGCAGATCCTGACTGCTGGAGGTACACATTGATCACTGAAGAGTTTCACAGAGAACACGAAGCAGTGAACAGGATTGGTAACATGTTTCATATTAAGACTTAAAAACCTAATTTGAATGTTAGTATGCTGTTTGAAGTTACCATTAGCAAGCAAACTCGGTTCCCCACTAAATAAACCTTTGTTTCACTCAGCTGTTTTCACTCACTTTTGATTTAGATGCTGGTGTGGATGGCTTAGAGTCTTTTCCATTCTGCTTTGCTTTCTGCATATTTTTACCTGCAACCTCACGAACAGGCTGAAAAGCAAGCACACGAGTTACTTTGTCAAATGAATTGCAATTAACTCCAGACAGCAAGCTCCAGGAACCCCAAGGAAAAGCTCTTGGTGCAGCACAGTAACACACCCAAGAACAAGCTCTGTTGTGATACCATACAACGATGTGTGACTCCACTGTACCCTCCTCGAATAGATCACCTTTCCTTTTATATCAGCATGCAGTCTCTGGGGACACACACTGCTTTAACACTAATTCCTGGTGCCACTGCAGTTCCATGACCTCATTCAGTGCTGGCTTTTTTCTGGAACACAACCATTACCTCATTTAGTGTTTCATCCAGAAATATTGTCTGGGATGAGCACAGGAGATGGTACCACACACATCTCAAAGATAGGGAGTATAAAACTCCTTTATAAATCTAGGGGCCACTTTGTTCAGTCACCCTAGATCATTTCTCAGATAGGAATCTGCAGTTCAGACTGGCTTTACCAGGCCACTGTGCACCATCACCTATGGAGATTCAGTAGGGACAGAGCAGCACATGGGGAAGTCAAACATTCAATATCTGTTTCTAAACAGTAACTATGAACATAAAAATCCAAGCCAAGTACTCAATTGTGAGAAGAAACAAACACCTCCCTGTGCCCTGCCCTGAGCACACCAGCAGATGGCCCTGCTGGATCAGCACCTCCCAGCCTGCAGCCAACCCTTCCAGGGCACACATTTCTTTATTTATTTATTGTTTATTTATGGCCTTCTGCATCTCAACTCGCTGAAAGGTGCTTTCACAGCATGCAGGACTGGAGCAGGATTTCCCAGGCTGAGAGCTGCACCCCTGTGCTCTAAGACCCAGTCACCCCTTTGCAGCCAAGGAAACAAAACATGGCCTGCATGGATGCACATTCACAATCAAGTGTTCTCACCCCCATTACAATTTCTTTACACAGACTGAGCTAAACCTAACACATCCCCTGTTCACACATTCCAGAAAACTGTGCTCAAACTCCTTGAGTTAAGGGACTACCTGTCCAATTACTCTTGTATCACAGTATTAGCCACTTACTTTCTTTATTGGTGCTTTAATTTCTTCCTCATCATCCTCTAAGTCATCCTCATCACTACAATCAGAAAGGAAGTCACTCACCATAACTCAAGATTCACATTAGGAATTGATCTTCCCCCTCCCTCCCAATAAAGTGTTTTATTTATGAAGAAGCAATCTTTCCAATTTTACTGTATACCTTAACACAGAGCTAAGTGCCAGGGCAAGCACTACCTTTAAAAAGCAGTTAAATGCATTCCCTCCCTTTCAATAGTGAAGGGATATATCCTAGAGACTTCCACTATTACAATTAGAAGTTAATGAGTAACAGGAAGCCCATTATGACATATCTAAAGAACATTAATTTAGATAGCATTGTAGAGATAAACAAGGCAAGGATGCTTTCTCCTTGGCCAAGATACAGGAGCTTTTTCATTTAGCATCCAGTTATGCCACACAATTCATGTTCTGAAAGTCAGCCCTGCATTTTAAAATGCATTATCAAAACACGAATACATACTCATCATCATCATCCTCATCTTCATCGTCGTCATCATCCTCCTCTGCCAATTTTGGTTTTTTCTTTAAAAAAGAAAGTGTGTTAAGTGCTGACACCATTTTGTGGTAGTAAAGTGCAACTGCTATCCAAAACAACTGTGGGTTAAGTACAAGGCCATTTTCCATCAGTTCAGCTAAACCCATCAGTTACAGCTGCCAAGTCCAAAGCTCCTGACAAGTTCCCTGCGTGTGCTCTGAGCACAGGATCCTTTCCTCTGCAGTAGAGCACTTTAATCAGCACTGACACTCCTGCAGTACACTGATGTATATATCAGAGCCTGCAGTTACTGCAGGGCAGAATTCCCACAGAAATAGCCATTATGTTACCCCTCCAGCAAAACTTTGGGGCCCTTCTGTAATCTAGTACAAAATTATTCTTCTCCACTTACAACAACAAGGCATCTAAGTGCTTCCTCCTAGCACCAAGCTAGCAGGAAATGCTGTGAACAAAGTGACTGCAATCCATGTACCTGTGGTGTTTTAGCACCTCCTCCACTTGCTGGCCTCTTTGCTGAAGCATTAACGATTTTTGTATCCTCTTCCTCCTCATCTGATTCTGGTTCTTCTTCTAATGCTGATAAAGCAAAGGCAAAGTGTAAAAACCTCACCTTGTTTAACAACATAAAGCAAGACTGTCAGTAAGAAACAAAGAGCATCACCCACAACTGGGCAGGTCTGGCGTGGCTGAGGTGCTGAACTGACAGCAGGAAGCTTCCCACCAGTGACCTAAGCACTGCCTAGGAGGTTTTGCAGCTGACTGAAGCAGATACTACGGCAGGGAAATCCAAAGCAGGTGAACAGCCACCTCACACACTGCTTGGAACACTCCTCACACACAACAGACCACAGAAAGCCAAAAGTAACATTTTCTCCATTCCTAATGAGACACATTCGAAAACTGGTAGAGAGAAAAGACAATTCTCCAAAGGAGAAGGCTACTCCTGGGTTAGCTTAGTTTAAAATCCGAACTATTTTATGGGCAGTCTGCTCCCACTCAGCTGATAAGCAGAAAGTCTCCAGTGGGACACCAACACCCACTTCTAAGGGGAGAAATTAGAACTGAAATTGCAAGGCTGACAAATGTCCCTTAACCCTACAAACCAAGTGGCAAGCAAGGCCTTGCAAGCACTCCTCTGAATTTATGTCCTACAGCCACTTCATGGCAGGGGATGTGCCTCTGGCATTCAGAGGGTCAGTGCCAGCCCTGCTGAGGCACAGCTGCACATCCCTGAGCTGTGCCAGGACCTGTGCCAGGACACAGCAGCAGCAGCCATACATACCCACGAGGTGCTGGCCACTGACATACACGGGCCCTGAGCCACACTTCAACCTCAGCACCACCGGGGGCGTGATCTCAAAGCCGCCCAATGAAACCTGTGGGACAAAGCAGAGGGGGTCAGTCCAACATTCCAGGCTCAGTGCACTCAACACACACTCCCCAAGTGGAAACCAGCAGCTGGAGACTCCATGGCCAACACAGTTACTCCCAGTTCCCATTCAACAGAGTATTCTGCAAGTGCTGAAAGTCAGCTCGGGGTCAGTAAGGCACCACCGAGGGTTCACTACACTCTGCTTTAAACCAGTTCCAGCACACCAAGGCCAGACCAGCACACGTTTGTTCCTACCCCACTCGGCAGCAATGTCATTTTGAACATTATCCATCCCACCTGCCCCAGCACCGTGCAGTTACTTGTACACCATCAGCAAGGAGTCAAACTACACTCCAGACAGCAGAACTGACAACAGAATTGCCTAAGAGCCTGGGACCTGCAGGAAAAACTAATTGTTCTCATCCCAGGTTTAAAGAAAGCAACATAATCTCAAGATGCATCTGCTTGCATGTGTCTAGACTTGTATATACACAGATTCCATGCATAATTATTACCACTTAAAAATGTGTAATTTGAACAGGCCAGGTATCTTCAGGTGACTCAGGTAACTCTACTAGGCACAGAAAAGCTGTTTGTATTTACTGCCAGTGCAGCAGACACTTCTCTGAACACACTGGCCATTTTCACTAGAACTCAGCTGACTCAAGCCATTTCTAGCTTCTGCCACTAGAGACCAAACTTTCAGTAGATTTTCCAGGTCTGTGCACTTACTGTAGGCTGCACTGACATTTTCAGAGATGCCAGTACTACTTTAGTAGGGTTGCCTTCATAGTCCAGTGCTTCTGCTTCTACAACGTGTAACTCGTCTTTGGCTCCAGCTCCTAAAGTAACCTGTGAAGTCAAGAACAGGGCACAGTCTTGAGCATCTTCCCAAATATTTTAAAATCTTTGAAATGCCGTTCACTGTTCTGCATCAATACTGAAATTTGCATTTCTAACTAGGATCAGACTCCACCCCAAGCCTTTTCCACAACACAAACTTCCAGGGTCACTGAAGGCTCAAGGCTAACAGCAGCAGTTGAATATTGTGATTTATGCACATGCCTTTTGCTGGAATTCACCATGAGAACTGCTGTCCCAAGGCATTTCTAAAGCAAAGTGCCTGGAACCCTTACTGTGAGTAAGAGTCAGGCACTCCTGAAGAGTCAAAACTCATAGCTGCAAGGAGACAAGTGAGTGACAGGCAGTGGCCAGGCCTGAAATTCCAGTTCACTGAGCCCTGGGCCTCTCAGACAGAACTACCTGCAGAAGCTGTGAAAAACTTGTACTACAACTACTCCCAACACAGTGCACAAGGCTCTGTGATCCCTTTTCTAAAGCCCAGACTCAGAAATCTTTCCAACCCCCACAGGAGATGTGGGTGTGAACACTTCAGGCACAGGCAAACAAGTTGCCATTCTATAAGAAAAATAAATAAATAGAAAATAACTTTGTGTAAAACAATACAAGTATCACTAATTTTATCTGCATAACAAACATTCAGATACAAGAACTCTGCACGTGAACTTGCTCTACACATTATTGTTAGAGTTGTCCATCATAAAAAATTGTAATAAAGAACAAATTCATTGAATTCATTGTCAAGTCCAGGCTGCACTTCTTTGTAATACAGAAGGATGAAAAACACACATAACTAACACACAAGCGTTTCCAGTAACACCATGAAGTGTTTGGAGACCATTATTATGCAAGTGACCTCCAGGAAGCAATTCTGCTGCAGGAATTAGTCCAGAGTTTTAAGACTCTCTTGCTTCCAGGTATCCAAGCATCTCCTTGCATTTTAATAAACACAGCAATAATCAGCAGAGATGTTACAGCTCTTCAGTCTCTTGTCTGTTAAGATGGGGCCTGTCATTGTTCTGCTACCCAAAAAACCATGGTCAGTCCAGAACAAAAGCCTTGAAGTATTGTGTCTGACTTGTGTGACACCAAAGCTCCAAGGACTCATCCAAGAACTCCCCAGGAGTCTGTAAGATGAATTAGCTGAAAGAAGAATGGGGTTTTTCAGTTATATCCTTGAGGAGGGCAAACCAAGGACAATCAATGAAAACATAAACCTTCTGCCTTCTTATTTGGATTTACTTATTATCTGCTTCTGGGAAAGAAAAAGAACTGGAGTTATGCTTGGGAACACACTGAAATGGCTTTCAAAATCAAGCTTCTAGCAGTCTACAAGACTGTGCCTATGCATGAGTCTTACACATCTATCCTTTCCCCTCTGCTCCTGCAGCACTTGCACTATTTACATTAGGGATGCCCGAGTGTATAGTGTGGTGTTTAATTTCATTTAGCATACGTTCAACAGCCCACTGTAAGTTCATTTTTAACTTTTTTCAGTCTTGCATTTGCTTGCTGTCAACAGTGAAACATCAGTGGACAAACTTTTTCAATACAGAAAATATCTGAAATTACGGAATATGCTCTACTGTCAATAAGAAGTGGTTAACAGATTTACATAACAATTATCACTAGAATTATAATTAGAGAAATAAATAATATAGAAATAGATGGCGCGTTAAAAAACTCACGTCTAGCATCATAGCACCCCACTATACTCAAAATGCAAAGTGTAAAAATCAAACACTACTTGCCGTTCTCAGGGACAACTGATGTTCATTTTCTTCATCATCTACTTTAAACTGAAACTCCTTATCCGCTTTAAGCTCGCAGCCTGTAAGAAAACAATTTAATTATAAGCCTACTGTTTTTTTTAACGCGCAAGTATTTGCTAAGCAGTTATTTCGCAGCCTGCTGCTCCCAGGCCTGGTGCCGCAGAGAACCAGCGGCACTCCGGAGCGAACACGTGGGCTGAGGAAAACCCCAGCGAGCGCGGCCTGCGGCTCCGGGCGGCCGCTCCGTGACAGCATCCCCGCCCGGAGCGGTGCCCGGGCCCGATGGGCGCTCCGTGCCCGCCCGGTGTGTGCGGCCGGGCCTGCCCCGGGCCGCCGGGAGCGCGCTGTGCTCCACGTGCTCCGCCCGCGGCCGCGCTGTGCTCCACGTGCTCCGCGGCTCTGCCGGCACGCCGCGTCCTTAGAACGGCCGGAGGCAGCGAACAAAGCGCGGAGCAAAGCGCGGAGCACAGCCCGGAACAAAGCGGGACGGGCCCGGCCACGTGTGGGGAGCGCGCCACGTGCGGAACGCGCGGGAACGAAGGCGGCGCGCCCCGGCCCCGGCACAGCGGCCCCGGCCCCGCCACAGCGCCCCCTCCCCTTCCCGTTCCCTTTTCCCTTTCTCTTTCCTTTCCCCCGCGCGCGGAGCCGCGGCGCTCGGCCGGCACAGGCCGCGGCCCCGCACGGCGCTCGGCCCCGGGGCCTGCGGGGGCCACGGCGCCAGCGGGGCCCCGGGAGGGCGCGGCCTCGGGCGCAGCAAGCGTTACCGAAGAGGAAGGTCTGGGGGCGCAGGGGGCCCATGCTCTCCATGTCCATGGCGCTGTCCTCCATCGCGGGGCCGGGGCGCGACTGAGCAGGGGTGCGGAGCTGCGGGCGGACGCGCACTAAAGGAAGCCGCGTGCCCGCCCCCTCGCTGATATAGCCTCGCGTTCTCGCGAGAGCCGCGCGCCGGGCCCGCCCCTCGGCCCCCGCGCCGCCCCTGCGCACGCGCGCACGCGGACCGTGGTGGTCGCGGGCGGGGCCGGGTGGGCCGCCAGGGGGCGTCGTGGGGCAGGGGCCGTGTGAGGGGCCCGGGCCCCACCGGCTCCGGCCCGGGGCTGCGGGGATGGAGCCGGGGATGGAGAGGGGGTGGAGCCGGGATGGAGCCGGGGATGGAGCACGGATGGAGCCGGGATAGAGCCGGGGATGGAGTTGGGGATGGAGTTGGGGATGGAGTTGGGGATGGAGCAGGGGATGGAGCAGGGGATGGAGCCGGGGATGGAGCGGGGATGGAGCCGGGGATGGAGCACGGATGGAGCCGGGCATGGAGCAGGGATGGAGCCGGGATAGAGCCGGGGATGGAGTTGGGGATGGAGTTGGGGATGGAGCAGGGGATGGAGCAGGGGATGGAGCCGGGGATGGAGCCGGGATGGAGTTGGGGATGGAGCAGGGGATGGAGCAGGGGATGGAGCAGGGGATGGAACCGGGGATGGAGCGGGGATGGAGCCGGGTCCGCGGGGAGTGCAGCGTTCCACCCAGGGCTGCCCCACACGTGGGCACAGCGACGGGGGCGCAGCTGCAGCTCCAGGCCTGGCACAGGGCTCGCACCCCGGGCTGGCACAGGGCTGGCACCCTGGGCTGGCACAGGGCTGGCACCCTCAGCCTGGCACAGGGCTGGCACCCCGGGCTGGCACCCTCAGCCTGGCATAGGGCTCACACCCCGGGCTGGCACAGGGCTCGCACCCTGGGCTGGCACAGGGCTGGCACCCTCAGCCTGGCATAGGGCTCTCACACCCCCAGCCCGAGCGGCTCCTTTGGCCGCAGAGTTCAAGGTGCCAGTTCCCTGCTGCAGTGGAACGTGCTCTCCTCACTCTGTGCCCGGAGCTGGTTGCTGCTGTCATCTTTGACTAAAATAATACATTAAAATAATAAAAATGAAAGCAGCCCCTTTGCTGTGCATTGCCTGTTAGGATGAGCTCCCATCCCGAGCTACTGCTCCCTGTCCAGGGCAGGGACATCACCGCTGTGGGTGCTTCCTTTTCAGCTGCTGTGTGATGGGAGCAAACCGCTTTGAATGTCAATTGGCACATGGGGAAATCTGTCACAACAAAATTAGAAGTCGCAGGGTTATTTTGTATGTACAGCTACCAGTCCTGGAAAGACTTGTTTGCCTCAGCAGTGGGAGCCCAGCAGTGGCCCTGGGCTGGCCACCATCCACACATTCCAGGCCATCGTGTCCAGGGGCTGATCTGCACGAGTCAGGTCCCTTGTGTGCTATCTCACACTTACCTGAATGCTTATCTGCAAAAATAAAAGTATATAGGCTCTCGGTGCTCTTATCTCTGCACTGATTTGTAATGTGTAACCTGTAGTCGTGTTAGCTTTGTTCACATTCATAAAGGAACAAGAGTAAATGATGCTGCTGAAAATTACACAAACTGAAGTGAAAAATAACTGACACTGTGGGGAAATGAAACTTACCTGTCAAAGATTCCCTTTCCTCATTCTTCCATGAAGTTGCCCCCTTTGCAAACAGCAAATCCACAGGATGCACATGCAGCTTAGTTTTGGGTGCAAAGTCTCCTATTTGACAAATACAATTCACTTTTCCAAATCAGAGATTAGCTGAGCGATGGTGTCACCATTAACATTAGGGCACGTTGTCCACTGAGGTGTTGCATTGCCACATTTACTGACTAAAATTCAGTAACAGTTAAATTGCATGTGAGAACAGGAATAAATCAGAGTGCAGCTCAGCATACGAGTGAGGACAGATATTCTGTGACTCTGGGATTTAGTCCCCTTAAAATCTCAGAAGGAACCAGAGAACAAAGTGTTCTTTGAAATAAACAAGTGTTTATTTCGTTTTCTAAGGTTTGGTTTGATTAATTTCTTATTGCCTTTACAAAGTAGTTGCTGCTGAGGGTGGGCACTGTGGAGAAGATGCACGCAGGGATGTGTGGAGCAGCAGAGGCAGAAATGCCACCAAGTGCAGTGGCTGGTGTCCCTGGCAGCACTAACTCAGCAGACAGCTGAGCCTTAAGAGCTGTGCAGATGCAGGGAGACATTTGTTTGGCTTGGCTTGAAAATGAGAACTACCCTCAACATTTCAGGTGAGGTTATGGCAGGACCCAGGTGTCAGGCTGGAGCTGGAAGGTGAATCCTCCCCAGAAGCAGTGGAAAGGAGTGAGTTGCACTTAGCTGGTGTGATGCCAACAGGAGGGCATGGCTGCTGCTCAAACCCACCCCAAAGGCTGTCCCCAGGGCACCCTGCAGCCCAGCACCCTGTGAGTTTGCAGCTCCCAAAGTGCAGCTCCAGGAGTGCACCCCGCTCTGCTGAAGGCAACAGTGCAACCACAGCATGTCCTCCTTTTAATACAATTACAGACTTCCATTACAGAGGAAATAAATGTGGGAGGAAACAAAGGACAGACACAGAGAAGCAAAGCAGGGGTAGGAAGTAGGAGATATATGCTTACTGTGTCTCGTTTGGCTCCATGGGGCTTTAGGAGGGCTGTCATATATCATGACATTTATTATTTCTGCCATAGTGCTAGGACAAGGAGTCCATTACAATATCGATCATTTCACTTTGCTCTGTGCTGGGTAATACTCAGCATAGCAGAAAGGGCTTACAAGTGATTTACAAACAGCTGTACAGGGACAGCTAGGGCAAAATCGGAGTTTCCCTTAATGGAATTCTCTTTTTAGTGAGCTTTTACAAAACTTAGGAAATTGTATTTTAAGCATGGTTAAAACCACAGCACAGTTGTAGTCAAGCAATCAGAAGCTATGGAGACAGTAAAGATTTCCTATGCAATCTTAATTTACACGCTGACATAATGAAATAATCTTCAGCTGCCCTGTCCCATGGCTGTCATGTAACCTCTGCACCAGGCTCCTCCTCCCGTCACTAGTCAACACTGAACTTAGGGCCAAAACCTTAACTGGCATCAAAACACCCTTCTTGATCTCAAGAAGAGATCACTTGTACAGCAGAAACCCCAAATATTTCCCTTTAGCCTGAAGTAAGAGTGTTGAGCTGTCCCCATCCCCAGGGACTGTGGTGGCAGCAGGAGCAGTGTGGGGCACTGGGGTGCCAGCACGAGCAGTGTGGGGCACTGGGGTGGCAGCAGGGACAGAGCCACCGTGCTGGGAGCCAGCTGAACACCCTGGACCTGCGAGAGCTGCATCTGCTGGGGCTGCTTTGAGAAGATTTGGCCTCGCATTTGGAATTTCCCTTCACCTCCAGGCTGGTTTGCAGCCAAGATGGGGGGGCTGCGATGGAGGGACCATCCTTCCCTGATTGTCTTCTTCCTCACCCACAGTCTGCTCTTGGCTGCTGACCCTGCTCTAAGAGGCACTGGAAGTTTTCTTTGTCTTCCCTCTTCCTGCAGTGCCTGTTCCATCCCCAGCTTTGCCTGCAGCACGTTATTCATGCAGGGCAGCATCAGAAGGTCCTTGAGCACCAAGGAATGCTGCACAAGGGGGCAGAGGGAGCTGCTGGCCCAGCTTCTCTTTATGGCACCACAAGCTGGGGCTGCTCCCTCTCTTCTATGGTTTTGCACAGAGCTTTCAGGGGATCCTTCTCCTATTAGGGCCCAATTTCAGACATGCAAGTGTAAAAGGCAGGAATGACAGATGAGCCAGGATGTCCTCAGGGGAGGCACTCGGGTGTCACAGTGATGATAAGAAGTAAGGTTACACAGATAGATTACAGGTGTCAGTGTCACAGCAGTAAAAACTGAGATAGGCTGAAATTTCTCTCTTTTTTCCTTCTTTATATTTTTTGTCTTTTTATTTTCCTTTAAATATTCAGTGCAAAACAGCCTCTGGGTCCTGGCCATGACCCTTCCTGGCTACTGCAAAAATCCCCCTTGTCCTGACAGAAACTGGGAGAAAAGCCAGGACACTTCAAAGCTTTCTGTGCCCTGCAGGTGCCAAAGGCGAGGCCAGGTGCCAGCAGAAGGAGCAGGAGGAGTTTGGAGTGGGTGGGGCTGGCAGGGGAGAGCTCAGCCGTGTGTGCCTGCACCGAGCTCCTTTGCACTGCTGTGTGTGTGGAACCCCGGGAGCTCCATCCCAAAATGTTCTGCATCACTGCTGGGGTGCCCGAGCTCTGCTGAGCACCCACAGCTGCCAGGCCACGGGGATGGGGACAAACCTGGGACTGCACAGCAAAGCAGCCTGTTCTGGGGGCACTTCTCACATCTCCTGCAGCCCAATCTGAAATGGGGCTGTCCCGTGCCCATGGCTCCTGCAGGGTCTGCAGAGCAGACAGAAGGCTTTGGGGTGGGGAACAGCACCACCGTGTCCAGTCCCTGATTTTCCTGGGTTTGTTTTACTCCATTTCCACAGCTTCCCTGCCAGAGCCTGAGGGCAGCTCCACTCGGTGTTTAACACGCAGGGTGCTGGTAGCCAACCCTAACTTCGCACAGATGCTCTGGCTACAAGTCCGGGGAAAATGTTCCTATTGCAAGGTCGACAGCACCATCTAGTGATCCCAGATCAGCTTCCTCCACGGCTGCCTGCCTTCTCCCCAGCTTCATCCGTGCCCCAGGTGTCCCAGGTGAGGTCTGTGTGTCTGCACCTTCCTACCACACCCTGCTGCTACGGGGGTGCTCACCGGGAGTTCTTGCACAGGGAGGCTGATTGCCCTTGGCCACAGTCACAGACCTCAGAGCTGCGATGATCCAAACTAAATCCCAGGCCAGAAAACGTGGCAGAGCCGTGTTCCAGACCCCATTTGGCTCAGTGAGAATCTTACCTGCCCTCTTGGGGAAAATAATCCCTCCCATCCTTGCCCTGGCTCTCTGCTGTGTTTGGCCTCAGCCAGTGTGCTGTGTAAGGACCTCCTGCACTCCACTCTGAGGTGCTTTTGTCCCCAGGGTCCCACGGGCATG